GTGGAAATTCAGTGGATGTTGGTCCATTTCACTGAATTCAACTGAATAGCCTTGCTAGGAAAAAAAAAAAAGCACAACATTTATTTATTTATTTGTTTGTTTATTTATTTTGAGACGGAGTTTCGCTCTTGACCCAGGCTGGAGTGCAGTGGTGCGATCTCGGCACTGCAACCTCCACCTCCTGGGTTCAGGCAATTCTCCTGAGTAGCTGGGATTACAGGCACACGCCACCGTGCCCAGCTAATTTTTTGTATTTTTAGTAGAGACGGGGGTTTCACATGTTGACCAGGATGGTCTCGATCTCTTGACCTCGTAATCTACCCACCTCGGCCTCCCAAAGTGCTGGGATTACAGGTGTGAGCCACCGCGCCCAGCCCTTATTTTTGACTCTGATGGTCCAGTGCTTTGTTTAAGCTATTCTGTTGTAAGCATGCTATTCTTTATCTCCTAGGATTTGGTCATATATTTTATTCTTCATTGTTCACTAGCTGGTTCTACACTCTCCTGTGTCATGTACTTCATCTTGTCTCCCCGAATCTATTCTGTTTGTGTAGAATAGACCAGGCCGTACACATCTCTGCCTCTCCTGGAGGCCGGCCACATGCCTACCTGCCCACCTGCCTTGGGGCAGAGCTCTCAGCTTCTGTGTGGTACTGTCTTTTTTCAGGAATGGAAATGCTCTGGTGGGGCTTCACTCTTTCAGTAAGGCAGTGATTTCTGCTAAAACGACACCCAGTAGAGTAGCTATTTAAATTTTAAAGTTCTTCTTTTTCTGGATGAGTTAGCACAGGAGGTACTTCAAGAGCTTGATAGGAGCAAGTGGGAAGAGTGGAGCTCTCTGCATGCTGGGAAGGCGGGTCTAAGGGAGGCCCAGCTGTGTGAGTTTCCAAGAGGGGCTTTGTGAGGGGCGAGGGATATGTAATTTGGGGGTGGATTGAGGGAAGATCACGTGAACAATTAATGTTTAGATTATTACTCTAAAATTGAGTATAAACTGTTAGAGCTGACTTCAGCAAAGTGGTCAGCATACTTTAGCAGTGAGGTGTATTTCATCTATAATCTCTAATTTTTAGTATTCCATGAATTTCTTCCTTTTAACTTTTATCACTGAAAAACATCATAGAGGTGAACTGAAACCTCTATGCTCTTCCAAATGTGTTCTCCCTCATTGTAAACATTGGGAATACCGTTTTTCCTGACTCTTTGCAGTGAGGGGATTTTTTCCTTTTTGGCTAAAATGGCACTGTTTGTTGAGCTTGGCTTCGGTTTGAAGTTAGGGTGATGAGCAGGTTCATTTTGCTTGGCTTGAGAGAATGGTGGCTTTTCCCTTTTTTTTGTTTCCCAAAGAGGCAGAGTTCTCATGACAGAACACATATTGTAATTTTACCATAATTTTCTTCAAGATCTGGTCTGTATTCACCTCGTCAAACACTGGTCTTGAAGTCTCTGAAGTCTGCAAGTCACTTGCTGTGTGTCACCACACTGGGGAGAGATGACACCTGGTCTGTCACCATTAGGGACCACCTGTGGCCCAGGGAGCATTCTCATCAGACTTAGAGTTATATCTTGGCCATGAAGGAAACATGACAGGCTTTTCTTCACCTCCCACTTGGTGCTGACCTTTCATAGGGAGAGTGAGTGTTAGATGTAATCCTGCTGCTCAGTTTCCCCACAGAACAAGTGGCCATTACGCCTTTCCTCACTGTAACCCTCTTGAGGAGGAGTGGCGAGCACAGGGGCTGCTGGTGGAGGGCGAGGGCGCCTTCACTCACGAGTTCCTCTGAGCCAGTCAGTTTTCACCCAGGGCTTCTGTGACAGTAGACTGTGTTGAGGGGAGACTCATCTTGGTGACTCTGTGAATCTCCTCTGACTTCAGGGAGAGCTGCAGGGCATCTCCTGGGAACACCACCTTGTGTTGGAGAGGCAGTCCAACCACTCAGAGGGCAATAAAGGGCCGAATCTGTTTTCACAAGCAATTTTTTAATAAAAGTTTAAAAAAGCAAACCAATAGGCCAGGCGCAGTGGCACAGGCCTGTAATCCCCCAGCACTTTGGGAGGCTGAAGCAGGAGGATCACTTGAGCCCAGTAGTTTGAGATCAGCCTGGGCAACATAGTAAGACTCTGTTTCTACAAAAAAATAAAAAAATTAGCCTGGCTTGTGCTACATGCCTTTAGTCTCAGCTCTTCATGAGGCTGAAATAGGAGGATCACTTGCATCCAAGAAATTGAGGCTGCAGTGAGCCATGCTTGCACTACTGCACACCAGCCTGGGCGACAGAGCAAGATTGTGTCTCAAAAACAAAACAAAACAAAAAAAAAAGCAACAAGTGTTTCCAATGCATAAAACTCAGAAAACAATCATATTATTCAAAGATAACCAAATACTGATATATATTCTCTTAATATATTTTCTATGCCTACACATATTTTCCCCCAAAAGGGTATTATACTGCTTTCATCTCCTAATGACATAAGGTACGTCGGTTTCCATGCCAGTAAAATATTCTTCATGTGATTTTTAGATGGTATGATAGCATTTTACCATACACATGATAGTACTATTATTTACTATTAAAAATGCCTTATTAGGGTCAGGTGCAGTGGCTCACACCTGTAATCCCAGCACTTTAGGAGGCTGAGGTGAGTGGATCACCTGAGGTCAGGAGTTCAAGACCAGCCTGACCAACATGGAGAAACCTTGTCTCTACTAAAAATACAAAATTAGCCGGTGTGGTGGCACGTGCTTGTAATCCCAGCTACTCGGGAGGCTGAGGCAGGAGAATAGCTTGGTCCTGGGAGGCGGAGGTTGCAGTGAGCCAAAATCATGCCACTGCACTCCAGCCTGTGTGACAGAGCAAGACTCCATCTCAAAAAAATAAATAAATAAAAATAAAAATAGCCCATTATTGGAAGCCGTCCCTTAGGGTCTGTGATATCCCTTAGCAACTTTGCAACTCTGATGGTCTGTAAACATAGTATAGAACCCTAATCTTCAGGCAGTCAGGGATTGCCAGGACATTCTTGGACTTAAGAATAGGTTCTCAATACCCTGAGAAATGACAGCCTTGTGTTATTTTGGTTCCGAACAGGAAAGCTTTACATTTTTTTGATCGTGGTGTTCCATAAACCCCTACTGATGTATTTTCATAATACAAGTGGGTCTTAAAGAAAACTGGTCTGGTAGGTGAGTCTCAGGCATTAAGGGAATAAGGTAGGAGTTTCTAGCTCAGATGCTGTCTAAGGCCAAAGATTGCTTTTCTGGTGTCACCTTGCTGGCGTGCGGGAACTGCATGCATGTTGTGCTTCCACTGATGCTTTTCTGGGGAACTATGTGTTAAGGTTTTTGGACGCTAAAAGCCTCCATCACGGTTAGGATTTTATATTTGCCCTCATTTTGATAGCAGAAACCCTCAAAACATTTAGTAGTACATTTACTATTTAACCCCTTTTATATCCTAGTTGAACAGGAAACCTCCTTGCAGAGTCATTTTCACCTTGAAATTTCTTGACTAACTGTAGTTCAAATTGAAACAAGTTTGAAAAATTCAGGGTCTGTTTCACCCTTCTTTCTCCTTCCATCAAAACCTTTAACTGTGAAACTATTGTGTAATGTTAACAGATGTTATATAATACAAGAAGCACCAGATAATTCAAGTAGCATCTGTTTAAGATTCAATAGATATTTCTTTAATCAAGTACCCAGGGAGAAGTTAGAAACTGGCCCAGTTAGCCATTGGCTGACACAGGAAGAAACCGCCACACTTCAGAAGTTTGCTGAGGATAAATCTCTGTGTGGATAAGTGATTACATGTTACCTCCAGTGCAAATTTATTTGACCACCCTTGTCTTTCTTTTACTTTATCTTTTGATTGATTAGCTATTAATGCTAGGCTAGCTCCATCTATTTTTATTAGTGTTGATTAGGTTTATCTGCAAATTTATTGAAATACTTGAACCCAAAAAGTTTTATTCTGATGCTCTAAGTTGATTTGAAGACTATTCTGGCTTACCAGTAATTTTGATCTCTCTTTCCTCTCTTAATTCTTGTGTTTTGCTTATTTTCTATGGAACTGTTTTTTTTTAAAACTGGAAAAACTCTTCTGTGATGGCATTCTAAGTTGTTTATACCATGCTGACAAGTCGTAGCCCTTGAAGATGGTTCTAAGATTGCAAAATCAAATGCTTGTGAGGACCTGCCAGTGAGTGTCAGAAAAGCAGAGAGAGGGTGGTCACTGGGGAGCCTGGAGTCTTTAAGGGACACAGCCACTGTGAAGGGGCCATAGCTGCTTGTCTTCAGCCTGTTATGACCATTTGGGTAGGGCTCAGTGTTGCCAAACGATCTGATTTCTCACGGGAAGCTGGAAATAGGGGAGTGTGTGTATGTGTTATGTGTTTGAAATCTCCTGATTTTTATATGTTGTCTTAAATATTTCTTAAAAAGTGGGGATCAAAGAAAACATGTCTGTGGCCCAGATTAGGCCCACAATGGCTGATTTACAGCTTTTGCTCTAAGGGGTAAGTTTTGCCTTTTCAGAAAATGTTCTTAATTAAGCAGAGTATGTGGATGCTGATTTGCCCTTAGGAGTTGAGATAGTCCTATTTTAATCACCTTGAATAAAGAACTACCATGTACTTGACTGTAAGGTTTTGATGAATCTGTTGTAGCATTTAACTTTCTTTAAAGGCATGCCATAACTCTGTCCTGCTATTTTGTAGTATACTGGGTGCAGAGCAGAACTTTTTCCAAAGAAAGTGAAGTTGTTTTTTTTTTTTAGGCTAATAGATCTCCAGCCAACTGTCTAATTTTTACGTATGATTTTCAGATTTCTAAATAGCAATGTTCTGAATTGAACCAAAAGAATCTATTAACATAATAGCTATAGGTTTCCAGAATCCTTGAATGTATTAGCAATTCAAAGCTGAAAAAGAATTGAGTCAATCTTGGTTCCTCTTAGTTATCAGATGGTTTATTCATATAATTTCTTTTTCTTTCTTTCAAGATTTGAACATGGAATTCAATCCTTCAGATCATCCTCGGGCCAGCACAATATTCCTCAGTAAATCTCAGACAGACGGTAGGTCCTTAATTTATGTTTCTTTTTTAAAAAAGGCTCATGTTGGTGATTTGCCTAGTGTTGGTTTCCCAGTAGACTTAATTTTCAAGGTGAAATAGAGTCTCTTTAGTGACCCACAGATATATCGTTTAATGATAGTTCTCTTGCGATTTTTGGCTTTTGCAGTGTTATGCTTTTAGAATTTCCTGTTTGAAGCAAATATCCTCATTTTGTCAGGCAGCTGTCTTATTTTTACATACATTGTGTCGTAGGAGTTTCTACCCTAAGAGTCAGAAATTTTCCTTTTAGAATTGATATTTGCATAACTTCTCATAAGATCAGAATTATTTGTTAATTTAGACAGTGTGTAAAAGAAAGTCAAATATAATCTTAAATAAAAGCACCACTGCCTGGCTTCGCTGAGTGCCGAATGGAACCCATACACTAGGTGCAGACTTTTCCTTTTTTTGCCACCTCTATAATAACCATATCTAAGTTTATTCTTACAGATTGCACCATCTTTGTTGTTCATCCCAGGTGTGTGTGTGATTTCTCCTAGAGGTTTTCTCTTTTTTCAGCCCCTTTCCTGGCCCTTGGCTGCAAAGGAGAGATAGATAAAACTTATAGGGCCGGGCGCGGTGGCTCAAGCCTGTAATCCCAGCACTTTGGGAGGCCGAGGCGGGTGGATCATTAGGTCAACATATTGAGACCATCCTGGTCAACATGGTGAAACCCCATCTCTACTAAAGATACAAAAATTAGCTGGGCATGGTGGTACGTGCCTGTAATCCCAGCTACTCAGGAGGCTGAGGCAGAAGAATTGCCTGAACCCAGGAGGCGGAGGTTGTGGTGAGTTGAGATCGCGCCATTGCACTCCAGCCTGGGTAACAAGAGCGAAACTCTGTCTCAAAAAAAAAAAAAAAAAAAACTTATATAATACAACAAACACACATCTTCATTGGGTTCCTGTAGAAAAGAGTGGCAGGAGAGACTTTTTAAATGATAACTAGAATATTATTTTAAGATGCTGGAGTCCTATATGATTCTATCTGTGACTTTTTGGGCAATTGCTAAGCTTTAATTCAGAGAATATCCTAAATGGACTAGAAAATAATCAGACACGTCTTTTTAAAAAAATTATTATTATACTTTAAGTTCTGGCATACATGTGCAGAATTGTGCAGGATTGTTACATAGATATACACATGCCTTGGTGGTTTACTGTATTCATTCCCCCATCTTCTATGTTAGGTATTTCTCCTAATGTTATCCTTCCCCAATCCCCCCACCCCCTGCTATCCTTCCCCTAGCCTTTCCACCTCCAGACAAGTTTAAGATGGTAAGTTCATTTATGAGAATTGATAGCACTTCAGTAACCATTAAGGAACAATTTTGGCAAGGTATAGGGCTGATTTACTATTATTGGGAATCTTTAGTTAAGCAAGCCACTGACATGATTTGAAAGAGTTTGATGTGTTTATGAAAAGTTAACGTTTCCAAGAATAAATTAGTATAGGTATCAAATATTTAGGTTGGTGCAAAAGTAATTTCAGTTTTTGCCATTAAAAGCAATGGTAAAACTGAAGTAAGTTTTCAGTGTGTTAGATACAAAAGAAACATTTTTTTCCCCTGGTGAAGCAGGAAGCCATTGGGAGGGGTGAGATAATACAAAGGAAGGAGAGTGGCAGTCAAGATGGATATTTGCAACCATGAAAAATGAGGGTCAGAACCAAGTTTTGCAGACACTTACTGATAGTGCTTTAAAAACAAGAAACAAAGTTGACTTACTTTCAGGTTTTCCTCTTGCTTCTTGTGAACTTGGTGTAGACCAACTTCATTCAGAAGATGTCGTAACAAGATTTTCATGAACTTGCATTAGAACCTCTAAGTGGATTTCCCATACCTTGGTTATCCTGGCAGAAGGAAACTTGACCCAAGTCAGGGTTGCTGCAGACTTGGCTTAGGGAACTCTATCTTCCCCTTCACCTTTGCCCTAGATGTCATTCCCTTTCCTCTTTTGGAACATCAGGGCATCAGTTACTCTGACCCTTCCATTTATTGCTTCAGTTTCTCTTTGAATGCTAGATCGTTTTACTTAACATGTAAACGTATATGAGTCTCATAGAAAAAGGGAAAATAACCAATACCTCTCTCCAGGCGAAAACTTCTGCCTCTCTCCCTGTTCGCTCTCCCATTGGGATCTTCCTCCTACCCAGACATTCTGAGGAGCATCACAGTAGAGTGACCTAAGGACATTTCCCTTCTTGGGCGATTGCCCTTGTATGTGGCACTTGCTGTCACCAAGAATTCCATGCTTTCCAAAAACTCTTTAGCCTTCTATTTTCAAATGAGCAGTTTGCTGAAAATAAGTGCCTCTAATGAACAACTGCTTTATAAATATTTAGAAAAAAATCAATTTAAAAAGTAGGTAGATTGGTAACTTTAATGAATTAATTCTTTGGTGAAATGATAATCAGAGAATTGGCTACTTGGTGAATTGGCTTTTGGCAAATTGGTTCTGAGAAATTCTGCCCTTCTGAAAGCTCCTTCTCAGACATCTTTATCAACTTCTATTTGTCGCTCCAGTGTAGTATTTCTCAGGGTGTCTCCTTTACTGTCATATCTTTTTGATTTGTACACAGTTCCTCAGGGCATTTATGCCAACTATCATATCTAATCATATTTTTCTCTGTACTATATGTATTCAGTTGCCTGCTGGACATCCTTCTAGTGAAGGCTATAGGTTTCCCTGACTCAGTATGTCTCAGACAGAACTTAAGAATTCTAGTTAATGTTCTGCATTTTCTACCCTGCCTGGATCCCTAAGCCAGGGAGGGCTTTGGATTTGCCTAGACTCTTTCTTCTTCTCACAGATGGGCAATGGTGCTGGAGATAACATTTCTTCCCAGCTTCAGGTTCAGTGGCATCATATTGGCAGCTTGAAATAGCCATAGTGGGAGTATTTACACCATGGAAATTGGCAAATGCTGCAAATCAGAGCATTTTAAAAACAAATGAATGTTGAACATTTACTAGCACACCGTCACATGCAGACATTCCAAGGTGTACTCACTTTTCCCTCTTACCCAGCCTTGAACCTGACCACTCCTTCCCATTGCAGTTGCTGCTGCTTTAGTTCAGACTCACAGTTCCGCACCTGTGTCACTGCAGCAGCGTCTAGACTGGGCTCCCTGCCCTTGGCCTCATCCGTCTCTAGTCCCAGGTCTGTGCTTCTTCTGCTAGCTGACAGGACTTCCCATGAATCAGATATGATTGTGCCACTGGCTTCCTTAACCTTTCTCAAGGGCTCCCTAGTTGCTTTAGAGTTAAATTTCAAACATCTTAGCGTGGCATATGAGGCTCATCGTGATCCAGCTTCTGCCTTCCTTCCCAGCCAACTTCCTCTCTTCCTTGTGTACTTCTGTGCTTCAGCCATACTGAATCGCTGTCTTCCTCAAGTGGGCCACCTTTTTCACACAGCTGACTTCTGTTCTCCAAGCTTCTCCTGCGGTCACTTCCTTCTTGAGGGTTTCCTTGACCCCATTGGCTGGGTTGAGTGGGCCTTTGGTGAGCTCCTGTAGTAGTAGCCTGTGGTTCTTTCTTCATTGTCTGAACCGTACTGTGGAATCTAAAACAACCTTTTTGGTTTTGCTACCCGCTAGCTCCTAGAAGAAAAGGATCGTGTGACACTAGATTCAGTATTGTTTGTGCCAGCCTGACTGGTTGAAAGAAGGAAAACGACAAAACCAGGAAACATTCTTGATTTGATTGTGATAATTCGTCACTTGGATAAACTTATATTTCCATCACAAGACCACAGTTGTGGGTCTTTTCTACCCTAATTTTGTTCTAACTGGAAGAAATGTAGTCTGAGACAGTAAGGCAGACTTTGTGTTAGAGTCCTTTGTTCTGAGTCTGGTGATCTCTCCTCCTTCCTTCATTCAGGTCGATGTACTTTGAAGGCAGTTTAGATTAGGTTTGTAGCTAGGGGGCCATGGTTAGGATGGTGACGGTCCTGTTAGGGCATGCTTCCCGCTGCTTGGCCCACAGACTTGCAGCTCCTGGGTCTTTGCAGCTCTGTGTTTCTGCAGACCCCACATTCTCTTTCCCCCTCAGCACTTTATGGTCTGACAGACAAGTTGTCAGCCATGCATCCCACCTCCCAGTTGTTCACTAGTCTGATTTAGATGGTACCTGCATGGTGTCATCAGAGTTTCTTGATTGCGGAATTCCTTTTCCTTTGGATAGCCAAGAGATTTAGGCTGGACATGGAACTTTTTTCTTGTTCCAAGCAGGAGACTGGAAACTCCAACAAAACTGAGTAAGTAGCCTGCACACCAGAACCCTCCAGAGGCTGAAGGTAGGGGTATTTTATCCAAAGCCAAGTGATGGCTTTCTTTCTTCACACAAAGAGGATGGCATTGCAGACTTTGTGCAGGAGCCATTCAGCAAAGAAGGGACGAAGAGCTCCTCATGGGGGTAGAGAAGTTTGCCAGGCCAGAGAGAAGTTAGGTTGTGAGATCTTCCATGGTTTTTCGTGCTACTGTCATTACTTGTGGGGAGGAATTGTAGTTCATGGTGTCCTTTCCTTTTCTATACTTATTTTGTTTCATCATTTTCAAAGATGTGAGAGCTTAATATTCTTAAATAATATGAGAAAGCAGCCAAGTCACATCTTCTTCCTTTTAATTAGTATGATTTTTAGAGGTTCATTGTCTTAACAAAGAATTCGAATATAAATAAAACCCCAAGTATACAGGATCTGTGTTTCTGAGGAGTCGCTTGAAATAATTAAAGGAATGAAAACCATCCGTCCCTTGAGTGGCCGTCCTCGTTGGGGCCATGCTTTGGTCCTGGGCAGTTGAACTTTTGTGTGATGAGACGACTGCCCTTCTTGTCCTCCTCTTCCCTGGCAGTTAGGAGCAGCTCCCCACTGCCCCTCGGGATCGCTTCCCTCCAAGTGCTGCCGCGGCCTTGCCGTCCGTACCTCACTTGCATTCCCAGCTGTCTTCAGCTCCTTC